GTTGTGTGAGTGCAGCTTAGATCTCGTGGACAGGGCAATCTTGCATTTCCCATGTGCGAAGGGCATGCTTGCAGCCTGCAAGCATGCCCTTCGCACATGGGAAATGCAAGATGAAAGTATCTACACACACATACATTTGCTATCTTCAAGTCTAAACTATAGAATAAAGCTTCTTATATATTAGCAGAGAGAAGAAATGAATCAGATGGGACAAAGACATTCATTCTGAAGAATTGCATGAACCCGGATCGGATAAGGAGGTTAACATTTACTACGACCAATCAAGATCTAAAATGCGAGTGTGCATTATTTGAATCTAAGGGGTTTCCATGCAGACATATGCTTACATTCATAAAAAATATGGGATACAGCGCACTACCCTCCACGTGGTTCAAGCTTCGATAGACCCAAAATGCGAAGACACTAAATCGTCATCCTAGAGTTGGACGTGAAGTGGGAGAGAAAGTTGGTCGACTTATAAGACATGGAGGGTTGTCTCTAAAGTGTAAGCGTTTGTGTGACATCGCGTGTGGTAGTGAAGCTGCTTTTAATCATGTCTCTAAGTCGTTGGATAACCTTACTAAATGGGCAATTGAGTTCTCGAGGGAGAGAACAGACAACACTGCAGCTGCAAACCCTCAAGCACCCCTCTCGAAGTGTGAAAGATCCAAAAATTGGGAAGACCAAGGGAGCATTCAAGTCAGCATGAACTACATCGGGCAAAAGCGTAAGAAAGTGTTCGAAATGTCGAATATATGGTCATTTTCGCCCTAAGTGCCCGAAAAAAAGTCCCAAAAAAAGATCTTAAATTTCTTCTATTGTTTTTTAGGAGTTTATTTTTTTGTAACTGTGATTGCATAGTATTTTTTTCGAATTATCTTAATAATTTATATGTTAGTTGATTGTTGGTTGAAATAAACAAACACAATAAAACAGTCGACCTCATAAAAAACACGTTCGACCTAACCAATTGAGCAGTCGACCGCGAATTTAATTCGGCCGACCAAACCGGTTTATATGACAACATCCACCTAAACCTATCCTCCAATCCTCTATTTAAGAAACCTCCACAATCAGAACCCTATCCCACCACATCCACTCATTCTTCCTCTCCTTTCCCTTTTTCTTCTTCTTCGTCGTCGTCTTCTTCTTCTTCTTCTTCTCCAATTTCAAAAAACTCAAAGGAGAAGAACCAAAACCTCCATTCCCTTCATCCTCATCTACTTAGAAGAAGAACAAGGTGAATATTTCAATCTTCATTTCATTTGGTTCGAGTTTTCACTTCTTTATTTGTAGATTAGATTGTTTTTAAAAAAATCTAAAGATGGAAAAGAGGGATGTTCCCTTCTGTTCGTCAGATTTGGTCGACCTATTTATCTTCGTGGTCGGCCGAAGCTGCGGTCGACCTATGATTTTACTGAGGTCGACCGATTTTATTTTGCATTCCAATATTAAACGTATGTAATTCATACATTCTCAGTTTTCATAAACTGAGGTCGACCTGTGATGTTATTGAGGTCGACATGTGACGTTTCGCTCTCCAAATTGTATGAGTTTTTGGGTTTTTAAAAAGATCTACAGCAGAATAATGAAGTATGTTGTGTTCTGTTCGTCAGATTTGGTCGATGTTTTCCTTACTATGGTCGACCGGATCTGAGGTCGACCTATGATGTTGCTGAGGTCGACCGATTTTCTGCTGCATTCCAAATCTTAAGCATTTGGGCCTATTCAGACTCATTTTCTATTTGCCGAGGTCGATCGATGATGTTTCTGAGGTCGACCTATGACGGCAAAAATACGAGTTTTGCCATTCTTCTACGAATTATTTGTGTGAAACTAACTGAGGTCGACCTGTAGTGATTTTGAGGTTGACCTAATCTGTTTCGCACTCAACATTTTAAGCATGTGGGCCTATTCAGACTTGTTTTCTATTTGGCGAGGCGACCTATGATGTTTCTGAGGTCGAGCTATGAAGGTAAAAATACGAGGTTTGCCATTCTTCTACGAATTATTTGTGCAAAACAAACTGACGTCGACCTGTAGTGATTTTGAGGTCGACCTAATCTGTTTCACACTCAACATTTTAAGCATTTGGGCCTATTCAGACTCGTTTTCTATTTATCGAGGTCGACCTATGATGTTTCTAAGGTCGACCTATGACGACAAAAATATGAGTTTTGCCATTCTTCTACGAATTATTTGTGCGAAACTAACTGAGGTCGACCTAATCTGTTTCGCACTCAATATTTTAAGCATTTGGGCCTATTCAGACTCGTTTTCTATTTGCCGAGGTCGACCTATGATGTTTCTGAGGTCGACCTATGACGGAAAAATATGATTTTTGCCATTCTTCTACGAATTATTTGTGCGAAACTAATTGAGGTCGACCTGTTGTGATTTTGAGGTCGACCTAATCTGTTTCGCACTCAACATATTAAGCATTTGGGCTTATTCAGACTCGTTTTCTATTCACCGAGGTCGACCTATGATGTTTCTGAGGTCGACCTTTGACGGTTTTTACGAGTTTTAGCCCTCTTGTTCGACCAATATTTGTGCGTAATTAGCTGAGGTCGACCTATGCTTCATTTGAGGTCAACCTATGTTTTTTTTTACTGCAATTTTTACGGGTTTGGGTCGACCCATTCTCATTTTTTATTAACTGAGGTCGACCATTTTTGATTGGGAGGTCAACCTATGATGTTTTGGACTCTAATTTTGTCCATCTTCGAACCATATTTGTGCTTGATTTTCTGTGTTCGACAATCAGTGTGTATTAGGTCGACCTATGATGTTTTAGAGGTCGACCTAACGCTTTTCTGTTTTATCTATATGTGTAGTTTTAGGTCGACCGCTTTATGGAGAGGTCGACCTAGTTTTGTTCATTTCGAAAATGTGACTAACGTGTGTTCTCGCTTGTTTGATCGCAAATTGTTTGGCAACAAAAAGAAAAAAATCACAAAAAGCTGCCGCCTCAAGTTCGGAATGGGAAGAGTTCAATCCCACTCTATTCTAGACCAAGGAGCAAAGTGACAACTTTTAAGAGAGGAGAATGCACAACCGCAGGGTGGCTCCTGGAAGGCCATTGACGACGGATGTGTGTTCTCATTTCGAGAATTACGGGTTTCTAGGACCCTTTGTCGAGCAAGAGTGGCTGAAGGTGATAACTCTGAATGCACCATAGTACCCAAAAATGGTACAGTACTTCTACAACAACATCTTCTACCAGCGTAATGCAAATGGATCCATTCATGCATTTAAAACCTATGTGAATGGGGTGGAGATGCCCATCAGCAAGAATGTGTTGGCGCAAGTACTAGAGGCTCCAAACGAGGGGAAGAGAATCGATTATTACACTGCTTGGAATGAAACTCATTCTCGAGAGCCAAGCAAATCCAGACGGTATGTGGTCTTGATGAAGAGAAAGATGCTCAGGGTCGCAGTAGGCCAACGAGTAACCACCTGACAGTTCAAGCCAGAGTTCTTCACCACATGCTTTCCTAAAAAATTCTGCCAAAGGGTGGACATCGGGAGACAGTCACCTACTTCGACATGGAGCTCCTCACCAACCTACTGTTAGACGAGAAGGTGAGCTTGCCATACTTGATCTTTAACCACATGCTTATTGCTGCAGAAAGTTCAAACAGGAATCTTCCCTATGGGATTATCCTGACTTTGCTATTTGAGCATTTTCATGTGGATTTAAGTGGTGAGGTGGGGTTAAGAATCTCAAGGCAGGAGTTCTATATAGTTTCATCTCTGAAAAAGATGGGCTTTAAGCTGCATAATGGTGAGTATGTCCGAATAAACAATTCTCATGGTGCCCAAGGTGGTGATGATGATGATGATGATGATGATGATGATGATGAATGATGATAGTGATGGATGAAGGAGCCGGAGATGAGCAAATGCCGCAGGCACAGAGTTCAACTACACCGGTCACGTTAGAGCGTGTGTGGGAGCGCATTGATGGCATGTACGAGTACATTGGCCAGATTTCCAGCCAGATGACTGGCATGTATGACTGTATGGGGAAAATGACCGCCCAGATAAGCACAATGCAGGGGACCGTGAATGAGATGCGAGATGAGTGGCGATCTTTCAGCGGAAGATACGTGCATCCCACCACATCCGACCACCATCATGCTAGCAACACCATTGAAGAAAATGTGGATGAGGGAGAGAGGGGACATGAGTAGGAACTCAGAGATTTTAGATGGTGTGTTTTTATTGTTAAGTGGTCAAAATAATTGTTGATTGTTATTTTGTTGTTTTGGTTTTTTTTTATGTGTGAACAATTATGATTTCTGTTTTATTGTATTTCTTGTTAGTTTGTTTAGTTGTTATGCTATGAAGTGATGAGTCCTTGTTATCATTATTTATGACTAGTTATGATGGTTTGAAACATAATTTGTACGAGCAAAAGAACCACACAAATCGGCATACATAAGCAAAAAGACACGGGGCATAGGTTGACTTTCTTGTATTCGGCCGACCACGTACCATATTAGGTCAACCTCGAAACCAACACTTGATCTTCATTTTACGTCAAATGGTTGGACAAATTGATAGAACACTTGTCTTCTATATGGTCGGCCGCTTTTTGTATTTGGTCAACCATGTTGTTAATGACTGCCATCAAGTGGTCGACCTATATATCTTTACGGTCGACCATGTTGTTTCTTACACCAACGAAATGGCCGACCGAGATTTTATTGTGGTCGACCAAAAATAACAACTTAAACTAAGTACGGTCCACCAGATGATCTTTGAGGTCGACTGCGATGCTTTCTCGTGCTTCCTAAATTAGTAGGATTAGGTCGACCGAAAAATCAATGTTACGGTGACATGCATGTTACCGTAGGCATACCCTAATATTTCCCCAACCAATGATTAATAATAATTATACAAATAGAATACTCCCTAATAGTCTGCATAACAATAGTGCTTAGCATAATTGTATTCTTGTTGAGGTTTCCAAAATCAGAACTGAAGTGCGACTGTCAACTTATGTAAGCCTTGAGAACCGGATTCCTCTCGAAAAAATTAGCCGGCCGGAGCTCAAACCCACTACTCAACGTCGGCATGACCGGAAAATCCTCTTGGCAAGGCACGTGATGAAAACCCAACGTGTACCAAACCACAATATCCCTGTCCTCAATCTCCCGATCCTGCATAGTCCACGTCGCCAAAGTATCGTCGCCGCGACTCCGATCGACGTAAACTCCTCCCGCCCACTTCTCACTCTCGTTATACGGCGTGACCCAGACGTTGTACTCGGTAAAAGCTGCCCTAATCTGCACGTAATCATCGGCCGACAGCAACGGACCCGCAACCGACCCAGGAATCAACCGGTAGCCGACCGGGTTGCCGACCTTGGTTTTCTTGTTGGGGTTCACAAAAATTAAGTCAACTTGCTCCGAACCGAGCTTTATCTTTGCATCAGACTCGGTTTTGGCCGTCTCTACGAAGACTCTCCAGTAGCTCTTCCTCGGGGAAGTGGTGCGGTTCGGGACTCGAACCGTTTTCAGTTTGGATTTCAAGAAAGAGTTGTTGTCCCCGTCGACGTCGAGATCTAGGTGGTATGTGAGGAAATGGTCGTGGTTCGACCCGATTGTGTTCTCGGCCAGTATTTGTCCGTAGGATTCGTCGTGGATTTGGTCCACGTGTGTGTAGTCGGCTCCTCTCGCCTCCAGTAAACCCGTCAGTCCAACCTGCAAAATAAAAGTTGAATTTCATGATGATGAAAATGGTAAGAAAGTGGTTAAATATCATATTCGATCTCTCCCAATCACTTAAGTTGTTGAAAGCCGTTGATAATTTTTTTTAAATAATTACGACTACAAATGAACCGAATAATTAGTATCTAATAATATATATGATTCATAATTTTTTTAAATTATGAATGATACATATTTAAATATTGGCTCACTAGGCACATTAATAACTCAAGTACATATATCTAAATTATAAGAGATACCTAATTTCTCTTTTAAATTATAAACTATACATCATTATCAGAAAAATTTATAAACAATACATATCTCACGAGCATAATGTTGGTTCGCCCATTGACATAACTTCAATCTTAAACATAATATAAGAAGATATTCAATTTAAAAATCCATAAACGACAAGTCAATTTAGAAAATGTAGATCGATTAGCTTCTAATTCGGGAGTTAAGTTGACTCATTAGAACAGATCATTAACAACTCGGCTCATTTGTCGCTCTATTTATAACTAAGTCAAAGAGAGTTTGAAATTCGATGCTATCCTTACCGTGACTTTGATGGAGCCGCTTTGCTTGAATTCCCAATCGTTGATGTAGTCATAGTTACCCACAGTCGAAACCATTCTCACAACCAAGCTCACATCTCGCCTCACCTCTGTCACCTACCATACAACATAGAAAAAGGCAAACAACCCAACAAAATCAAACAGAAAAGAAATGAGAACAAAAATTTCCGAAAAGACCCACCGAAATTCGCAATTACACAAACTCACCACCTCCGGAGTAGCGGCCTCGGTGTGTCGCCACAATACATCGCCGGCGTACCTCTCGAAGATGCAGAATGCGTTGGGCAGCTGCTGGGGATTCCCGTCCTTGTCGGGAAAGTAAGCTTCCATGAAAACCGCATTGTCGGGGCAGTCGGCGCCGGGGAGCAGGGACGAGGTGCACAGCCCGTAGCCAAACTCGCCGGCGTCGAAGAAGGTCCTGTAGTACCATTCCTCCGTTAAGTCCATGTACGGAACGAACAGCTCCGACAGGAACCCTCTGTACAGAACCCGACGGAAGGTTTGCTTGTCGACGTCGAAGATTGATGCCGTTGATATTATGGGCCCGGCCCGCATGTCAAAGCCCAGATGGTAATCCCAGTTGGCCCACCTATTTAAGGTCAGGAAGTCACAAGTCAGTATAGGTGTCAATCGGGCGGGTTCGGGCTGGATTTAATCGGATTCGAGTTCAAACGGGTTGCGGGTTCACTGGATTGTGGGTTTATCAAGTTCATCGGGTTCGGGTTCAATCGGGTTGCGGGCAAATCGGGTTACAAGTTCATCGGGTTTTGGGTCAGGCGGGTTGCGGGCGGATCGGGTTGCGGGTTGTTCGGGTGAGCGCATCGAGTAACTTACTCCTTACTCGTTACCAACTTACACATTTTATTACACAAATGTAAAATATTTTTCTCAATTTTTAACCAATTCCTTTCTATCTCGTATATATATTTATTTTTAAAAAATGTAGTCAAAATGTTAAATCAATTTATATGACTTGCAAACTTGTTATGTAATTAATCATAATTGGTAAAGTACACTAGCTAATTTTAATGGTTATATCGACATTTGTAACCAAAAGACACCATTAATTATTTATTTGGTATTTTAATATTATTTCAGTAGTAATTGGATTATAGTATCTCGTTTATAATAACCATGCAAATCTGGTATTTTTCATGTGGTATTTGGCAAAAGCAGAGTGGTAAAAGGAGTTATTTCGAAATAACTCATTGTCCTAATAACTTAAGTAAATTGCTGCCAAACGAGTTATTTGTAAAATTGTTCGAATTACCCTAAAAATTGAACCATGAAAAATTAATTATCACAAATTATAAAATTATTGTGACTTCAATCATAACTTACTCAATAATATATATCGTATACACTTAGCCTTACTTCAATCGACAATATTAAGTTAATGTATGTTGTTGATCGTATGACCTAAATAATCAATATATTATACACTAACAACATACCCTAACCATATATCCCTATGAGTTGTGATTTTGCTAGTATAGTTAATTTAAAGTGAAATTCATACTTTGATTTTTGAAACAAAGGTAAAAAAGTGATATTTGCTATACCCGAACCATATACCCTATACTCTACACCATATACCATGTACCCTAACCACGTACCATAAACATAAATTAAAAAGTGATCTCTTGCCGTTAAATGTTTTAAATGATTTCAAGTGAACATATGTTAATAAAAAAATTTAGAACCGTCAAAACCATCAATACATCATACCATAACCATATATACACCCTAAACCATGTGTACGTTATACCATATACTTTATAGCTTAAACAACGTACTGTCAAAAATTACTTATCAAGTTTAGTATAATTGTTGGCTCATATTAACCCGCCCATAAATTTCTCATTCCAAAGTTTCCATCCAAACCTCCCTCTCATTTTCCATTCCAAAGTGACCTGCAACCCGATTAACCAAAATTTCTAAACTCGCAACTCGACTGAGTTATTGCAATCGTAAGACTTAACAGGCCAAGTTTAACACCCATTTTGAAATGAAAGTTCAACTTGAACACAAGTTAAATGTGCGAAAATTTTACTAAGTGTTGTAAAATAACGATTATGTAATGTTGAAATTGCAATAAATGTAGAAGCATAGAAAGCAAGTAGACAAATTAAGTGAGTTTTTCTAAAATAAATGATTGCGGTAAACACCAAATTTGTTTTCTTCTTTCTTTTTCACAAAAAAAATTAAAATACTAAAATTCTTCTCCTTCTTTCTCCTTCCATAAATTAAAAACACTCAATTTTCTCTCCTCTTTCTCTTCTATAAAATTGAAAAAACCAAATTTGAAATTTCCCTCATTTTTCTCTTCTATTTGAAAAACCAAATTTTCCTCCTTCCTTCTTTTCACAAAAAGTTGAAAACTCAAAATTTCCCTCGTTATTTCTCTTTAAAAATCAAAAGAACGAAACTTTCCCACCTTTTCACTTCCCACAAATCAAAACCACCAAAATTCTCCCTTTTTCTTTTCTAAAAATTCAAAAAACATAATTTCTCTCCTCTTTCTCTGCCCAAAAAGTTAAATACACTAAAAGTATCAAATTATCCAATACATTGCTTTACTTTATTTAATTAATATTCTCCTGAAAAACTATGTATTATATAATACAATAATTATTCAAGTGGATTAGATGAAATTCGGGTTGAGTCGGTTGGGTTGCGGGTTAGTCGAGTTCAGGTCAATCGGGTTCGAGTTAATCGAGTTGCGGGTCAATCGGGTTCGGGTTAATCGGGTTGCGGATCGAGCGGGTTACAGGTTGTTGACTTTTAATCAATTCGGGTTGCGAGTCGGGTTGATCGGGAGGGTTAGTCGGGTCGGGTTATGTTTTGACACTTATAGAAGTCAGTGGGCATATCTCATGCATTATCCAAATTTTGAATTTTACTAAGCTTGCGGATAGGAGTAGGTATTTGTAGGATATGATACTATAGCACACTGTGGATTATGATTTCGATGGTTGGATACACACATTGATAAATTAAGGTATCATTATGTACATATTTTGATGAGTGATTTGAATGAATCAAAGAAAAACGAAATAATTTGATCAATTGTCTGGATTGCTATTCGTCGCCCTAAAATGCATCAAATTGACACTTTTACCCTCTGACCTCAATTTCTAATCAAAATCTTAAACAAACAATTTTGTACCCTGCCCATCCGCTGCCGAGCACCGCTGTCCTCCGGGCGCTGTTGCCGCTGTAGGATCATTCTTCCCGACAATTGCCCACCTCAACCCGACCGCAGCCGATGCTCTGCTTCTAGCCGGAGGAGGAAGAAGACAGAGAAAAAGGAGGCCGCCTCCCACCTCCTGCTGCCGGATTCTTCATTCCGACCCACAGCCCTCCTTTTGTCAAGAGTTGGTAGAAACCTTCTCTCCAACAACATAATCCCATTCCCAGTGAGAAACGCCTTGAATTAACTTAGTTTTCGTTCTTCTTAGCTTACTTCATGAGGTTTAGAGTTAGAGTTTCCAATTGAAATCAACTGAACATAATCCATACAATTTTTCAGAAAGAGTTCCAAACTAACCCCTTAAGAATTGAAATGACGAGCAACAATTCGTTCCAGCAAAATCAGCCATACATGTAAAGCCGAGGGATCGTGATTTCTAGAAAGAAAGGCGTCGAAGAACATTCTAGGGAGAAATCTATCACCACCCCACTCAATAATTCCAGCAACCAGGTATTACAAATATTGAACTAAGGATATTTGAGTCATTTCGATAAAATTTAGTGCGACGAGTAAGGTATTTTAGTGCGACGAATATCAATGCCCTTGTTGTTATAAAACGAGTCAATTCGAATTACCTATCTCACCCTTAGGCTAACTCCAATGGAGCCTCTATAAATGGGGGAGCCTCTATATTTGGGGGAAAGTTGGCTCCAATAGAGCCTTTATAAATGGAGGAGTCTCTATATTTGGGGGAGATCTCCAAAAGGATCCCCAAATTTGGGGGTGGAAATGAGGGTTCCCCCAAATATAGAGACTTCCCAAAGCGCGCCACGTGGCGTTTTTTTTTCTTTTTAAGATTTTAAGGGTTAATTGGGGTTTAATTAGGGGATTAGTTAGGGGTTTAATTAGATCAATAATTTTCAAGTGTTGTGTGTAAACCCAAATTAGGTCAATCATTTTTTGTCAACAAAAATTTGGTCTCAAAATTAAAAAAAATTCTACCGGAAAATTTGTATTTAAAAATGATGACGAACTATACAAAAATTAACATGAACAAATTATATTAAGACTTCGATCAGTACATTTTTTAAGTAAATGGAAAACTTAAAAAATGGAGATCTCCAAATATAAATGATGTAGCACTGGAGAAAAAAAGAAAATTTGGGAACCTGCATTGGAGTTGGTCTTAACAATTAAAATTGACTCGAAACAAGTCAATTCTAAGTTCTCCCCACCAAATTGATCAATCGGAATTTCATGCTTACAAACAAAGCCAATTTGACAATTGAGACAATCAGAAATCGTTACAAATTCGAATGCAAACAACTATCCTTGAGAATCTCTCCATTGGGGCGCCACAATGGCCGGCAAGGTGAGGGCATTAACTAGAACAACTACCACCAAGGCACCACCAACGCTATATAGGTGGAAAGAAAAATCAAAACTATCGACATAAAATAAACCTTACCGAATCCGATGCCCATCGATTTCAAAGCTGGGCCCATTGGGCTGGACGACATTGATGGCATTCACACCGGGCCCAAACGGCGGCCTCTGCTTTGACCCTCTGTAGTCTGTCCCATCGGCCTTGGGAACCGGCACAATCCCCCGATCCCGATACCCAACGATCTCCATCCGGTCGAGATCGACGGTGACGGCGATCCCCTCCACCGGCCGCATGAACAAGTTCACCGTCCCGTCCAGATAGTTACACATAACCCTCACAATCCTACTCCCCTTCCCCTGCTCGCCGAACCACCCGATCCCGTACGTCTGGCACAGGATTTCCGCCCCGTGGAGGCCCCTCCTCCGCAGGGACTCGAGGAACGGCGCGTGGCCGAGGGGCAGCGCGTTGGCGGCAATCTGCTCCTCGAAAGTGAAGAGCGGGTAGCCGCTGCCAGTGTAGAGTTGGTCGGAGAGTATGGTGGATTGGGTCAGGTCGACGGTGAGCTCATGGGTGGTTGTGTGGTTGACACGCGCGATGATGAAGGCTCGCCGTGGGGGAGCGGCGGAGGAGGGGGTGTGGTGGTGGAGCCAGGAGAGGACGGCGGATTTGGGTGGTTCCTTGAGGCCGATGTAGTGGAAGGCGACGGAGGTGTGGTTGGAGTAGTGGGAACGGAAGGCGGCTTGGACGGAGGTGAACTCGGCCGGGGATAGTGGGTCGAGTGGGTGGGATGAAAGGGTGATGGAAATAGTGGAGCTGAAGAAGAAGAAGAAGAAGAAGAAGAAAAGGAAGGTAGGATTTTTGGACATCATGAATTGATATTTGCAATCTTTCCCCGGACAATACGGATTGCGGGCCGTAGTGTTTGTATTTATTATCAGTAGGATCGATGATATTTTCCCCCCTGCTGAGCTGACGTCTCTCATCTCTGTGATGGTTTATTGGATGACGAAACGCATTCCGTGAGTTGCGTTTAGTGAATTCTCTAACTACACTTACATTGTTGTTCTCTGTAGATTAGTAGTTTCTGATGCTAGTTTGGATGAACGGTTCAAAGGTTCAATGCTTGCTGCCTGTGAATCAAATTGGGACGGATTAAGGCTCGCAAGGTGTTTGATGAAAGGCCTAACTGATTGTGTTTGATCCGATGAGTCTTGCATTTATTTTGTCAGGGAACATAACGGGGTTGAAGTCACTTTCTAGTGAGGTTTGTACTTTGTTGGAATGGTCCAATTAGAATTCCCAGTTTAGAATGAACATTGTATTCATATTTACCGTGGTTTATGGATCTAGAATGCTTTGTACTGATGCTTTGATCTCATTTACTATAAACTGTGCCAAAATGCAGATATGGCTGAACCCCAATATACACTGTGGCATCTGACAAAAAATATTGGAGAGGAGAAATCATTGTATGCCTTTGCAGAGAGTGCGTGGTCGACATTAGAACCTCAATGCAGCATAGCAGTTTGGACTGGTTCCCAGATCGAACTGCTCAAGGACAGCAGGAATCAGAAGTTGATGCGAATTAGGGGTGGTAAACGGTTTCCCGGTTAACGGTATAACCGGAAACCGTACCAATAACCGGTGGTTACCGGTTATACCGTTAACCAGCGGTAACGGTTGGCGGTAGTCAACAAACCCCAAACGGTGTACCGGGTTCTTCCCGGTAAATCACCGACGGTTAGTCGGATAACAGGGCAACCGACAAACACCTAGAACAGAGGAACAACGCAACAATCCCAATTCCCAACCCCAATCCCCACCAGTTACAACCCAAATCCCCAGCTGCCGAATCCCCACCTTTGGTCCCAAACCAAATCCCAACTTGCAAGCGACGATAAGAGAGACAATCGCAGGAGGATTTTGTCGCCGTCCCTTCCCCTGCATCATAAGTCATCGTCGCCGTCCCTTCTCATAATCGGAGGTACAAGCAAACCAAAACTGAAAACCCCAAATTGAATGAGAATCTGCCGGATTGAAGATTCAGCGCTTGAGGCTTCTTCTCCGGGCGGAAGTCGGTGACGATTTCCAGGATCTCACCTACGCCCCAGCAACCAGGAAGAGTCTCACTCATGACAGACCCGGCCAAGTCTCCTCGGCCGCCTCGCGAGTCGCGACCTCGCTCCAAATCAGAATCAAGAAGCTTCTCACCCCCCGCCATCAAACCGCCGCAACTCGTTGGGCGACATGCACCATACCTAGGCCAACCTCAATAACCTCCCGCAACCCGCCGCCAGCCTGGACCCTAGATAGATTGATTTTTTGTTCCGCTGGATTTGATCGGAATGGATGCGGAGAGAATAGGGTTTCTCGCTTCCACTGCAGATGGACGAGGTGAGGGCGGAGATTCTCGACAGGAAGAGGGAGATGAGATTGAGAAACAAACAATGGGCTCGATGGAAGCGGATTGAACGAGGAAAGAGATGAGGGGATGGTAGGGGCGAGAGAGAGGTGGGCAGATTTACAAAAAAAAAAAAATTAATGAAAAAGTTGAGCAGCGACGCAGACATAAGAGTTAAACGGTGCAAAAAAACCGCAAAATGGAACAAAACCGCATGAAATAACCGAATTAACCTGTAAAATCCATCAACATGCACTTGAGAAATTAACACTAAAACAAGTAAAATGCACCTGGAAAAGTCTGAAACATATATAAGTTCTAGACATCCCAAAGAAACCATCCACATTAAGTTCTAACAATCCCAAATAAAGCATACAACTTAAGTTCTAAACATTCCACAGAAAATTTCAATCCCACATAAACCATCCAAATTTAGTTTCAACACATAAACTCATAAACTTAAAGTTCAACCCATACTCAAATAGTCCACTTCCCAACTCTCATGTCTTTAATTCCTCAATCACTCATTCCTCAATCACTCATTCACTCGTAGTCTCCTCACTATCCTCGTCCTTAGAAGTACTCCCATCCTCGGTTTGCCTTTCTCCATCATTAGAATCTTCTCCACCACGAGGCGCAATCGAAGAAGAAGCTCGCACTCCGGCAGCAATAGCACTTCCAGCTCCGGCAGCAGCTGTTCCAGCCCCTGTATCAGCATTCCCAGCTCCGACAACAGCTGTTCCAGCTCTGGTAGCAGCATTTCCAGCTTTGGCAGCAGCACTTCCAGCTCTGGCAGCAGCACTTCCAGCTCCAGTTGTACCAGAAGTTGTATTGGCATCCAATACAACAGTTTGAAAAGCTAAAACAGCCACAAAAAATGGAATAAGAGGTTAGAAAATATAGTATTCAATAGCAATAATGCACCACACAACCAAAACAAAACATACCACTGTCAAGATCTTCCAACTCATCCAAATTCTCATCCTCAAGAGGTAGTCAGTATTGGGATTTATTCTGCTTTTCAGTTTCAGTTTCGTATGTGCCTATGTGTGTGTTCTGTTTAGTCTGTGATTACAGGGAATTCGATCAGAACTGAAGAGAAAGGGACTCTAAATCGAAGTGCTAGAACGAGCTCTCACCACATGGGTTTGATTTAATTCAATTTTAATTTCTGGGTTTATAACTGTTGTGTTTGTGGTGTTCTTCCTCTGTTCTTGTCTAAAACATATATAGGGCTATCTTGTGATCAAGAATTGACAAAGAAGGAGTGAGTTTATTTAAAAGACAGGTATAAAGTCTCGCGCTCGACGCAACCAATACTACACATTGTGACTGAGGATGTAATCCATAAGCTTTTCTCTCATACCAGTGTTCAGGTGGACATTAGCTTGGGGAATGAGAACAATATCTGTCATGTTCTTGATAGAATGAAATTTTAGGAAGTCAACAAAGAAGTGTTTGAAAAGTGTGAGAGAGCATCATAACACAATGCTTGCACGACTCAAAGGTGAATGTTTAGGATTTGAGCAACGTTATACTTGTTGGTGGTTGTTCCTACATACCAAAGATACAGAACCTTGTTAAGGCATTGTAAAAGGGAGGTACTCTACTGTGGGATGAATCTGTTGGAAGCTGATGTAAGTGGAGCAGCACTAGAAGGTGCAGTTGGTTCAGGAATCAACGATCATTTGGAAGTTTGGATATGTTAACAATTTAAGCCACCCCACTTGCCTAGAAGAGCTGATCTCGCACCCGCACAAGCAACGTAAACTAGCATAATCCAGAACCTGACTTAGAGAAGATTCAGGAGGCCTTCTCATAAAAGAAAGGAACAAATAATAGCAAATAGTGTATACTGTGTTATAGGAACGATGAACTCCCAACTCCAAGCAAATAGTATCCTTTTTGTTTTTTGTTTTCAATATAAAATATTAAAACATATAAAAATTAGAGACATAATTTAGGAAATTCACCAACAGTATTCTCACACGAACTATTTAAAGAATCTCACTTAAGAGATGAGATTAAACTATTACTAATAAATTAGTTTGGTGTCCGACCCGTTGATCGGAATGTCATTTTATACAACATATTTATAATATGTATCTAAATTTATGAAATTAATTAAAATGCTAAATTTTGTATGACATTAGCTTGGCATCGAAATTATGTTTCCATTTTTTAGTCTTATAACTTTTCATCAATGATGAACACTGCAATCTGAAAGATGATATTTATAACCAAACTTGTTAAACCGATTTAAGTTATTGAGTAAGTCAAGCAAGTTGTTTGAAGTTCAATGGTTTGGTTTTTTTTATTACCTAGGAACCTCAACACTATGTGTCACTTCGTGGCAGAGGGGTCTACTAAACTTGGTGAATACCTGCATCAGCAACATTTTCAAGGCCTACCACCCGATACTGGGGGAAGACTTTGTCTCCAGCACACGCGTGTTGTTAGCAAGCCAGTTATCGACCACATAGGAAGAACAGGAAGCCGTGGGCATCAAGTCATTGTCCATAGAGGAAGAAAAGGAAGCCATGGACATCAAGAATTTGCATTTGGAAAGAATTATCAAATGCAAGGGTGGTGGATTTGATACAACAACAGAATCATCTCAAGGAAAGCAATTAGAGGGTGTGTTGGAAGACACAATAGCTGGATAGCTGAGGTGGTGGGAAGTAGGAGCATGTTCTAATTAGCCTTCCTGGAGTGGTTGGTTAATCTAGCCTAAGAGGATAACTCTGAATCGGAGCATCAAAGCAAATAATCATAGTGAATTGGCGAGAATCACAAATAAGTGATCTCTCGTCCGTGGAGTAGTCAGAGCTGGGATTCATTTTCGCCCAGCTCTGGAAACCACGTAAAAGTCCCTGTGTCGATTTCGTTCATTATCTTCCTGTCTTCGGTTCTTACTCTGGTTTCTGCTGTGTTTAGTTGTGTTGAAGAACAGGGGAATTGAATCTGCAGGGGTGAAAAGAGAGTACAGGTGTTTGGAGTTAAAACGCACCACTGAGTGAAAAACAACAATAAGTAACAGCAAGCAAAATCGAGAATCACTGTGAAGCTGGACTCGAGTAAACAGGCCCAATTGCTATAAGCCTGCTCAATCTGCATTCATCATTTTCTGTTATGTTATATTTGTTTTGCAATTGTCTACGTTTACATTTTGGTCTTCCTTGTTCTTAGCAAAAGGGAGAGTTAGGGTTTTTAGGTGGGATCGGAGAATCAAAAAGGAACAGGCATCTCGCGCTCGACGCCTGTAACACGTGGTATCAGAGCACGGTCGCTGATGAAAGTAGGTTCCACAACCTTTGGTGAAATCCAGGATGGTGTCAGGCTCTTCAAGCGCGGGTCCGCTGTATCTTGCTGATGGATTCTCGCAAAATTGTCCACCTCGATTCCACGGGGTCAACTATGGCTACTGGAAGAATCGAATGGAGCTGTTTGTACGATCAACAGACCCAAAGCTGTGGGCAAGGGTAATCAAAGGGCCATACGAGCTTAAAGCAGATCAAGAGAAGTGGACCGATGAAGATTAAAGAAAAATTTCAGCAAAACTGTAAGGCGACCAATTTGATGTACTGTGCCTTGGGTCCAGAGGAGTATCATAAGGTAGCTGGGTGCAAGACAACAAAGGAAATATGGGACAAACTTCAGGTCACCTACGAAGGTACATCTCAAGTCAAAACTTCCATAATAAATTCACTTAAACATCAATTCGAGTTATTCAAAATGGAGGAAGGGGAGACAATTCGACAGATGTATGAGAGATTTACAAACATAGTGAACAGTTTGGAAAATCTTGGCAAGTCATATGAAAGTGGAGATCTTGTAAGGAAGATACTGTGGAGTCTACCTGAAAAATGGACTCCTAAGGTAATAGCTATTGAGGAAGCAAAGGATCTCGAGAAGCTGGCTATAGATGAACTAATTGGATCTCTAACCACTCATGAGGATAAACTAATGAAAGGCGGGTCAAAGAAGGATAGCAGTGACAAAGGTAAAAGAGGGATTGCATTCAAAGCAATTAGTGTGACAGATGAATCTGAAGAATTGGATGATATGGAAGATGAGGAACTAGCCCTGTTAAGCAAGCAGATAAGTCGACTTCTCAGGATTCGGAAGGAGAAAAAGATGGGAGGACCTAAGGCTAAAGAAGCATACATAAATGAAGGAGTAGCAAGGTTTGGTCAGTCCGAGTACTTTCAAAAGGCATAAATGAGGTTAATCAGAGTTCAAAGGGTATTGGGTCTACTGGATGCTTCAAATGTGGAAGATCAGGGCATATCAAAGCTGAATGCCCACTGATCAAACGAGAAAAGGCTTATGCAGCCACTTGGAGTGGAAGTGAAGAGGAAGGAGATGAAGATGATGAGGTGACAGTGCATAGATCCTTTATGGCAGTAGCTGAGGAAATAGAGGAAGAAGAAGAGTTATCTCATATACACCAGTCTACTCAGGTAAGTGATTCTAACTCGAATGACTTGAGAGAGATTGAAGATGAAAATGATGATGAAATGCTAGCTCAGACTATTAAAGAGATTCAACTAGAATTTGGGAATGTAAAAGTTAAATACACTAAATTGAAGAGAGAGAATGAAATAAATCTTAAGAGAATAGAAGAGCTAGAGCATAAGCTGAAAGTGAGTGAAACTAGTAGTAATGAACTTTTAAATAACCTCGTGAACTCTCATAATGAAAATAAAAATCTTCAAAAGGAATGCTTAAGTATGAAAGAACAAGTACAAAAGAACTTGACTCACAAAAGGGGACATTGTCATTCAGATGTAAACAATGAATCATTTAAAAACATAGAA